ATCTTGAGGAGTTTGCCCCCTCACATATACTAATGTGCCACAAACAGGACTTTAATATCACCAACCATTCCCATTTTATTACGGTGTATCCATATAAATGGCCCACCCTGTATATAAGTTTGAAACTGTGTGTAAAGGCCTTAACGCTAATTTGCGTAACCAGGCAAAACTGTCCTCTGCCAGAGACCTGGGAGCTTGAGGGTCCAGTATCTTTGGTGTTCCTAGGACTGCGCACTTCTGGACAGAGATCTCAGATGTTGTTCCCGGGACCTGCTGGAGCCACTCGCCTAGCTTGGGAGTCACCGCACCTAGTGCTATGATTACCACTGGGACCACCGTTACCTTCATCCTCCACATCTTCTACAGCTATCACTACAGCTGTCTTCCTCTGCTTGTTAGCCATTACCATTTTGCCCTTCTGTATCTGCAAGTCCCACAGGATCTTAGCTTGGTCATTTTTCGACCATCCTAGGGAGCGTCTCCCATTTTGACCTCGAGATCTCCAGGCCATACTTGGCACAGATGTTTCTGTATACTATGCTGGCCACTTGGTTATGGCGTTCTATGTATGTTCTGCCTGATAGCATCTTGCAACCTGCTGTTATGTGCTGGATTGTGTCAGGGGCATCTTTACACAGCCTGCACCTGGGGTCTTACCTGGTGTAATATGGATCTTGTGCTCAGAGCTTGTTCCTGTGCTGCCATGAGTATTAGTGGCACTGTGTGGCTGTTTATAGGTGGCCAGCACTGCAGGGGTTGTTTGTTTGTTAGTTTGTATTCCTACCATTGTTTCATCTGTCAATTTCTTTCTTTTTACATTGCTTCCTGTTTGTATTGTTATTCACTCTGTTTAGCTCATTTCTTTTTCTTTTCTTTGTATCACTGTGTGCAGTCCATCAACCCATTTCTCTGACTGCTTCAACAAGTCTTTCTTTTGTCCCTGAGATATGTGCAGTCTTTTTTTTGTATGTCCTTACTAGGTGTCATCATTCAAGGATTGTAGTCTTTCATTCCTTTGTCTACTTAAATGTTTTCTTCCTGTATTCACTCCCCATTCCTTTATTCATCAGTCACAGAGAACATCTCACACACCGGTGATGAGATTTTGGACAAACCTTTCAGTATGATGGCAGTCTGTCACTGCTACCCAGCTGGGAGCCGGAGAAAGGATCAGTTTCAGCTGACTAATGGAGGATTTGGCTACAGGCTGAGAAACTGAGCAAGCTCAGATCACAGACAGTTTCTGTCTACGTGTAATGTTGTTAAAACCATTCGAAATAATGGCCCTGGGGTGATGTAATGTGCTTCTGGCAACTATCTTGGCAGTCCAAAGCTTAAAACAACTTACAGCATTCATAAATAACCTGAAAGTCACAAAAATTTGAAACAAATGTCTCAAATGATTTCTCTGTTTGCTAGTTTTCTCATATGTCCTAAACTTTTCTAGAAACAAATGATGGAGTGGGATGTGGATGTATCCTGTACACTAATACTCAATAAAACTGAGTATTTCCAGGACTGGGAATACAGTTCAGATGTGAACCAAAAAACAGAAAAAGCTTCAAAAGTTCATGATTTTACGACTGAGTCAAATTATAGCTTTTTCTTGCTGCTGTTACACCCAAATTTCCCCTGAGGGACAATTAAAAGATTATTCTATTCCATTATGCCATGTCAGTAGTTATATATAGTATACTTTCTCTTTGTCAGGTTAACAAAACTGAAAGAAACCTTTGTTCAGGTTAAAGGTACAGTCAGTCATTTCTTTGAGGCCACTTAATAAAACAAATGTTGTAATCATAAATATAAATTAATTAGTGTGTAATTATTTCTTAGGACAAAATGATGCATTCTCATAAACTTAGTACATCAAAGGAGAAGAGAACTCGTAGACAAATTTTATTTTGCGTCAGCACCTTCAGACTCAAGATATAAAAGATCATACCTGTGTTTTACCAACGGAGCAAAACCACGAAGGAAAGAGACATAGATCCAGATCAAAGTCCATTCTCTCCTTCCTAACCTTAAAGCTAAGAACAAGCTGGCTACACAACAATCGCTTTAAGCTAACATCACACCTACTAATGCCAGAGTCAAGTGTCCTAGAAATAACACTTTCCCTCTGATAAACAGTTTTTATATTCTCACATCGTACAAGAGTTTATTCGCTAAGCCTCGGAGTCCAACAATGTTAGCCTCACTTCAATGAAATTTTCACCAACACCATGCAACGCATACTGACAGAAAAGTTCAGGATATCCTCAAAAACTCACACCAATATCACTGTGATCACAGAGAAGTGAGCTTTACTGACTCATCAGACCCCTTTCACAAAGTTTTACAGTCTCCTGCATAGTAAATAGAAGCAGATACTTCTCACGCAGCATTGACAGCTGAGGTAAACTGCAGACTGAGCCTAACCAGATTTTTTTTGAGGTGACTCAAGGACACAAAAAAAAGCTAAACCCTGCAAATATTTAGTGGACACATATCACTTTTTATTTATTTTTAAAAGTATTTATTTGTTTTGATTTATTGTTACATGTTGCTATTATTCAAATATTAGAAAATATAAAAATGTCTTTTTTACACAATTGGTAGCAGACACATGCTGGCCAGCCGTGGCCACTATGGCTCTTTTGCTGACTAAAGCACGTTTGTCCTGCAGCAGCCACTGTAGCTCGGATTATACACTTTGGGAGGGGGAAGAAAACAATTAAGTCGCTGAATTCTTGCAGGTTACATCCCATGCTAATTTTGAAACCCATCATTTAGCTTTAAAACTAAAACCATCACCAGCTGCAGTATCATCATGCTACTCAGACAAGAAGCCAAACAGAAACAGTTCTATCACTGTGTCTGGTTTTAGGTACTGGAACCATGAGGCAACACTGCCATCACAAGTCAACATAGACTCAACATCTTGCTCTGTTATTTTCACCCAGAATACCATTAATGAAAAAACAACAAAAATTGCATTGCTACATAACCGCTAGCAATCCTATTCACTTTAATGATAAAGAATTGACATTTCGACACCAGAACGCTGTCAAAGACGTACAGTCTAACTGCACTACAAGAGCAGACGCTGATAATGAAGAGAAGATAATCCCCCCCAGCTGTGTGATACCACGGTAACTGACCTGCCAGTGGTGGGCCTTGATAAGTTGATTCGCCCCATGACAGGCAGGTAGAGAGAGTCAGGCATCTTCTCGCTGCGACACGCCTCAATGCTCAGATACTTGAATATGTGAACTTTGCCCTTTATACAGATCTGAATAATGGGAGGAAAAGGGACTCAAATCAGCATCAAGTAAAAGTCCAGCTTTGCTTTGTTTTCTACATCATTTCAGCCTTTATTCACAAAGACTGCTGAGTCACTTGTGTCTTTTTTTTAGCTCTTGCAGCTGCTCGTGCTTAACATTTCCAAAAGCAGGTACATAGCTTTATACTACCTATTGCAATACTGCTGCTATGATCTGCTGTAATGGCCAGATAATAGCCCTGTGCAGGAACATTAAGCTGAAATGATACATTTAAAAATATAAATTTATTATGAATGTCTGTTTCTTATATTAGGATGGTATCTAAAAAAATAAAGTAGGTTTAATTTTCAGAGATGTGCACCAAGAATTTATGTCGAATCATGACTCAGACACAAAGAATAGTGGAAGATATAAAGTACATTAAGACAAAAGTGTGTGTGTGTTTGTTTATGTACCTGTGCGGGTGGACTCTGCAGTGGATTGTTTTCTAACTGGAGAGTCTGGAGCTGTTTCATCTTCCTGTAACACACTGGGATGGTGGACACTTTGTTACAGGAGAAATCGAACTTCACCAGAGGAAGATCAGCCAAGTCTGTAGGAAGACACAAACGCACAAACATCAGGCAAACAGCTCTGGTCATCTGCTCCTTCAGAGCGAGCAGATTTGTTTTGATTTGGCTTATGTGATATACAATGCAGCACATAAGGGGATTATATCTCAGCAGAAAACTTCAGTGTTATCTTTTTTTTTACCAAACCATGTTTGTTTTTCTTTTACTTTCTGCCCAACAATAACTCGAATGGAGACGCCCAGGAGGTTTAAAGTCTGACCCTTCTGGTTGATTTTTGCAGAAGACAACACTCAAAATTTGAGACAAACTGCACCTTTGAAATGCCAGCAAACTAATGGATTTAATCTTCCCGGGACTTTACCCCTACTGTGAAAATGCTAATCACAATGTGCTGGATGAACTTTCACTCCCCGGAAAGTTCCAGAACATTAGTTTTTTCGGGGGGAAATTAATGTTCCTGGAACAGCGAGTGGAAAATCACTTTTGGAGAACTTAGGCGTGTCTCAGTGTCTTCTGTTTTCATGTAATCCAGACTGACTCCATGGTGGTGAGATCTGTGGAGGTCGGATGATCTCTGCCAGAACACTTTGTTCTTTTCTTGCGTCTGAAGATAGCTCTTTGTGAATTTTCTTGCTGCAGAATTATTTTTAGACGGCTTAGACCTCTCTCTGATGGCACCGATGAGAAAGATTGCATCAACCTGCAACCTTAACCAGGCTGAAATGAGTGAATTCTTGTTATTTTGAACCAGGAATTCTTAAAATAGATGCTAAACAACAACATATTTGGGCAGGAATATTGAAAAAGTGTCATTTATTAAATATGAAATGGTCAGAGCAAGATGCCCGCTCTCCTGCATCAGCTGCATAGACCATACCACCTGCCCAGTCAGGTGTGGGACATGGGAAAACATGCATTATCTAGTTTCTGCTGACATGCACACGCTTCAGTGATTTGCATAGAATTACAGATATTCAGGTGTTTTCCATAACACTACACTAAGAGGCTTCAGCACACACACAACCTGATTTTAAAATAGCCCGATACCAGCAGTTTGTTTAGTGACAGTGGAAACCCCCCCTGCTGCTGATTTAGTTGATCTCAAGTAGACTACACACACTTACACTTTCACATGGGTAAAACCACCAACATGTTTCCCACCAGATAACACAATGCAGCTCTTGTTGTTATTTTCAGACTAGGTTTGTAATTGTTAGCAGCCCAGAGTCAAACTGTTTCTCTTCATGTGAACTTCCTCATTAAATCCAAAATAACCTGGAAAACCTGGAACACCTCTCTTACACAGCGTTTTACTGGAGTGACTAAGCTGTAATTTAACAAAAGTGCCTGTTTTATGTTTAAAGAGTTATGTAGAGTCAATATACAAGCGTGCACACCTTCACAGAGTACCCAATATGTTAACAAGTTAGATGAAGAGGTTGACCACACGCTTGATTACAGATTCCAGGTTGCAGCAAGCTTTGGAACCAGCTTTTAAACTAAACACGGTACATTTCTCTATGTATTTCTGTATTTCTTCCCACGGTATTGGGTTTTACACTGGAACAGTGATACAACACTGCTACCATGAGATCCAACTGGACATAACACCACCCCCCTTATGGTGGTACCATAGACAGTATAAGAGATAAACGTAGCTTCTGTGGGCAGATAAATGAAGCCAATGCTGAGGTGCCTTAAACTTGCATGCCTTATTTGTATGGCATTCGATTGCAATAGCTGTGGTTGCAAAAACACTTCCAGTCCTAAAGAAGTGTACAGGTATGGGATTTCATTTTTGACTGCTGTAAGCACTCTACTGTTCAGTTTATGGGCATGGTCATTTATGCCCATAAACTCAACCTTGAAGCTAGCTTCCAAGTACCCAACCTTATTATAACAACAGGAACCTGGGAGACCTTGAAGCTCACTTCAACTGCACTGAGTGCAGTTGACATTAACTGAGCTAATGCTATTTAGCTCAGTTAATGAGGTCTTTGCGCCTAAATCTACAATTAGTCGATTTAGAATGTAATTTTTTAGAAAGCGAGAATTGCAATGAATGAAAGGGAACAAATGCATTTTTCAAAATATCAAACTGTTTCTTTGAGCATATCATAAATATGGGAAACAGAGAAACACAGAATCATTTTTTCAAAAAGTTAACACAGATCTAAAACTTACCCTGAACTGCACTCAGACTACTAGCTTGCTAATGTTATCCAATGCCTGTTTTCCCCCAGCTGCTTGGCTCTCCCTGATATTACGTGATTTGGAATTTATTACCAGAGTCACTGTAAGCTCATCTAAATTTTAAAAAGGCATTATATTTCTCACTGTGAAGCAATTTATCTCTCTATCTTTTCTAAGTCTTTGCAGTTATATAATTAACCTTTCTTTGAAACCTTTTAGCTGAGGATAAACTGTGAAGGTTTTTAATGGTGCCTTTACCTAGACTGGCAAACAGTCATATACAAGAAATGTATAAACTTTCCGGACTCCTGGTCCACCAAACGCATTGTTCTTATTTGTCTTCTTTCCCTGTGTAAGATGTCGAAAAGAAATTCTCTATGTGAGTGTATGTGTGTGTTTACAGATCCTCAGACGGATGTTTGGGTTTGTGGGCAGAAACCAATGGGGGAACCATATCCTGCAGACTGCTAATGATGCGCAGCTCAGGAACCCATCAATTTTGACAGCATGATCATTACAGAGTGTTTAGACAGTTTCTCATAATTAAAACCACGTGTAGGCGGTAATAATGTCAGCTAAGCACATGTGATGGTGTGAGCGGTGACACCAGAAAGCATTCCTCTGGTTACTGGATAAAAATATTCTCTATACAGCACTCGATTAAATTATGCATAAACATATGTTCCCTTATGCCTTGAGATCACTCAGGACAAATGTGTAAATTTCATCTATAGTGCTCTAACAATTTTATTATAAAACCATCTGACTTTAAAACCAAAAAAACAACAGCAGCAGGCCAATCATGACAGCAGGGGAGACAATTCCTATAAAAGGTACAAACTACAAATTCTCTTTTCACTGCGTTCCCTTCATCTACTCGTAGGACTGAACTCAAAATCTGAGGTTCTAGATCTTGTGCTGAAACACAAACAAAATATACTAGGGTTCACAAAGTTTTTAACCTGCAACGGTATACAAAAACGGGAAAAAACTTGCAAATTACTCCTAAATCTTTTTTAAAAGAACAATAAACAGAAAACTTTAAAAGAACTGAGGCCTCAAGTTATCTAGCAGTCTGTTTACATATGTTCCGATATGCACAGCATCGAATCTGACTGTTGCACACCACCTCACAGGTCTGGAGATCTGAGAGCTGGGCTGATATGAACCATTTTCCTGGTCTTAGTGAACTGTGGCTGTCTGATGAGAAATCTGCAAAGTAGCTGTGCCTGAAATAAAACACAATAACTGCTGATTTACTTTAGATGTTACACTTTCGGCCTGAGTCACTCAGGCTAGAGACTAGATGAAGATTTCAGACATGGCTCGTAGTTCTTTTCACAATGCAGATTTTTGTTATAACTAAATTACTAAATTTTTACAAGACCATCCATGTTTTCTTCTTTCTGGGTTTGACATACTGTTGTACAAACTGTGTTGATAAATAGCTGCTAATAGCATTATTAGATTACTTATTACTTATTGAGGTACAAACTTGCAGAAGCCTCCTCTGATGTCACTGGAAGGAATATGAAATGTATAAAGGATTGACGACACCAGTCTGCTCCATTGCAGCCTTGATGCATTATGCTGCTAACCAAAGCTGCTGCTGCTGCCATGATAATTCTGGCTTTAAAGATCATTTTCCTACCAGCTCTGATCTTCTAGTTAGAGTCTGACTCTCTGACTTTATGCTATTGCCACCCTGAGCTTGGCCGACCGTTAAAAAGCCCTCAGCAGTCATGGTGGTCTTATCTCAGGGACTCTTTCAAGTTCAAGTTCAACAGATATTAAATCAAAAACAACATCCCTCCCTTTGTCGGGGCTGCCGTCCAGTCTGCCTGTTTGAAGCCCCCCTCCCCCCAGCACCGTGGTACTAAGAACCAGTTCAAAGCTCATCAATCAATCCAGGAGATGGTCATAAAGGTGAGGGGATGGGGATATGTAACAATTCAGGAAACTGGAGCAACAAATCCAAACCGGCTGAATAAAGCGATTGGAGTTGCTGTTGTTTATCATTCTGATCAACTATCTGCTGGCCTGACTCCATGTCTCGACTCTGTTTATCAGACTATCCACATGCTGGACAACTGACAATGAAGACAGAAATTGATTTTTTTTTTTTAATATCTTGACTATATTGACTACAAAACAGGAAAAAAAGATCAACAGACCCATTAATAACTAAAACAGCTATAAGCGCAGGCCCTAACTTAAAAAAAATACTGTAGTCAGATTGTATTTGGGTACTGATACTGGCCTTACATGCAGAGTTGTTCTGGTGTTTATAAATGGCTGCCCGCCATGTAAAAGCCAGTCTCTCTCCAGCCTATCAGTTAGTCAGACTGGGCGTTGTCTCACTAGATGAGCACCAGACCTTTGTGGCTGTTGCTCATCTCTGTGTCACTGACTTATTTCAGACCTTTTGGGCTGGAGGTCGCTCTTCGGTCACACTGAGGGTTAAGTATATTTTTAGGCCCAAGGATGGGTGTGGCAGTGCACGCAGAGGACTCTGTGGTCTCAGATGCACCTCCCAGTCTTGCATATGGAAGAGATTATTCCATTTCTGAGTTTCACTCTAAATGAGACTTGACTTTCCGATCCTCGAGTCACAGCACGGAGTGCACAATAGGCTTCTGTAAGGTGCAGAGGTAAGGTGGGATCAAAAGAAAAGTGAAATTAAAAGGCTTAAACGCTGCCTAAAGGGAACATAAATCACCTTAATTACACACCTAAAGTCAACACAAAGATTTCCAACCAAAATTCACCAGTCTTTAGGACACAGAGAGCTGAAAGCCTTCACTTTCTGAAAGTCATCAAGAAAGACAGGACACTGCAATTTGCCTTATACTGGGGGGGAAAAAAGGCACTCACCTTCTGGCAGGACACAGAGAAGGTTTCGGCGCACGTTTAGCTCGCGCAGAGCTTTGAGTCTGCCGATGTGACGAGGAAGAGCTGTGATCTCGTTGCAGCTGATGTCCTGCAGAGGACAAAAACAAACGAGGGGAGTGAGCGGTTAATATTTATGATTAGTAATTGTTTTAAATGCTCTCGGCAGCACGGGAGCAAACATCACAGCTGAGCAGATGGTGCAAAGTCGAGCTGGGTTTTCATGCTGAGAGGACGCTGCTGGAAAGTTAATAAGCAATAAGACTTTAATACCATATCACACACATATACAGAGTCCAGGTATAAAGAAGAGGTGAGAGCAGTGATGTAGTTGCCTGAGCACAAAGAATTAAACTCATACTGACAAGAAGTGAAATAACAGTAAGCAATGGGAAGCTTCCAGGTTCTGAGTTATCTCAGATTTGTTTGAGCAGACAGTAGCTGCTTTTAGCTGAAGTGAAGGACACTTCTGACTGACATATGAAGGAGTGGGAATCAATTAGAAGAGACAATGTGCGATGAGCTAATCACTTTATATGTGGGCGGGGCTTTAGTTTAGAGTCAGGCTTGGCTCACGACACTTCAGCTTATTTCATTTTCACCCTAAAAAGACTTAAAGTGATGATGTGCCCCGATTGTCCTGCTGCTGACCAGAACTAGACCGTTTTCAGCTAACAGGCCAGGATGAGGACTGTCATTCTCATTAGCCTCTGCTCCCTGCACAGGAGTGCTAACAAGCAATGTGATTGTTTTGCCTGCCAGCAATATTCCATGTAAAGAGCTAAAACAGCATCATTGTGGCATACTGACTCTCCTCTGAAACAAAACGGACAGTGTAATGGGTCATGAAAATATCTTCCTCATCAACCAATCTGCCAGTGCTGCCATCTGCTGATTCCTTGTTTGCACAGCTCTGTCAGTCCTTGTAAAAATTCACTCTGTTCACAAGTTTGACCCAATCAGATCAGGTCGGTCAGCATCATGCACATTGTGAATGAGCTAATCACAGCACTCCACCACCACCACTGGATAAAGTGAAATATCCCGCAGATGGGCTTCTGTCAATTTTTCTGTCAAAATCCAGCTTCCAGTTTGGATTCAGGAGACAGACACTATCTCTACTTTCAAGATTAGGCTTAAAACTTTCCTTTTTGCTAAAGCATATAGTTAGGGCTGGACCAGGTGACCCTGAATCCTCCCTTAGTTATGCTGCAGTAGACAAAGGCTGCTGGGGGATTCCCATGATGCATTGAGTTTTTCCTTTCCAGTCACCTTTCTCGCTCACTATGTGTTAACAGACCTCTCTGCATTGAATCATATCTGTTATTAACCTCTGTCTCTCTTCCACAGCATGTCTTTATCCTGTCTTCCTTCTCTCACCCCAACCGGTCGCAGCAGATGGCCGCCCCTCCCTGAGCCTGGTTCTCCCGGAGGTTTCTTCCTGTTAAAAGGGAGTTTTTCCTTCCCACTGTTGCCAAAGTGCTTGCTCATAGGGGGTCATATGATTGTTGGGTTTTTCTCTGTATCTATGAAGCGCCTTGAGGCGACTTATGTTGTGATTTGGCGCTATATAAATAAAATTGAATTGAATTGAATCACTATCAGTTGTATATATTATGCAGCACTTTATTGTGAGACTTGTTTGATTTAGAATAAGAGATGCTGTTGTGGAGGAAAAAGTAAAAAATAAATGTCTTATTATGAGTTTAAGAAGAAAATACCATTTCATTTCTTCTGCTTATCCAAGGCAGGGTCCTGGGAGCAGCACTCTAAGCAGAGAAGCCCAAACCTCCCTCTCTCCAGCTCCTCAGGGAGAACAACAGAGAGATATAATCTCTCCATCATGTCCTGGTTCTACCCCAGGGCCTCAACCTAGGAGGCATCCTAGTCAGATCCATGAACCACGTCAGCTGGCTTGTTTTGATGTGTGGAGTAGCGACTCTACTCTGAGCCCCTCCCGATTAAATGAACTCCTCAGCCTTTCTCTAACAGACAGCCCAGCAACCCTTCAGATTTTGCTGCCTGTGTCCGTGATCTCGTTCTTTCATTCACTACTCCGAGCTTGTGACTGTAGGTGAGGGTAGGGACGTAGATCAACTGGTAAATCAACAGCTTCAGTTCTCCTCACCACAACAGAACAGTACAGCATCTGCAGCCAATGTCCCAATCCATCTGCCGATCTCCTGCTCTGCTCTCCCCTCAGTCGTGAACAAGACCCCGAGATACTTAAACTCCTCTCTGACCCTGAGTGGGCACTACTCAGGGTCAGAGGAGACGATCTGATCTGATTTGTATCTTTTTTCAGAAAAAAAGACACAAATCTAACATCAGAATGAGCCAAGGAAATATAAAAAGAGAGTGACGACGTATGTCCCTAAATTTCATGTGACACATAAAGCTTACTGAAGAAGGGCTAAAAAACATAAGCCATAAATCCTCTCCAGACTGGGATAAAAGCAGTGAGCAGCACAACTGGAGCATAAGATATTCACATACAGACAAAGAAACACAAAAATAGAAATATTATTACTCACTCCTGAGTGCCACAGGAATAAACCAACACAGTGACACAAGTGGTAAAACAGCCTTACCAGCTCCATGAGCCTCTGCAGTTGTCCAATGGTCTCGGGCAGGCTGACCAGCTTGTTGTTGCTGGCGTTGAGGACTCTCAGAGGTAAACCACACAGGCAGGCCGGCAGGTAGCCCAGCTGGTTACGACTGCAAACACAAATATCATTCAGTCGAGGGGATCACTTGTGCTCATGTGGTTTTTTTCTTACACCACTTAAACAGCTTTAAAATAAAAAAAGATTAAAACGGTAAAAGCCATTCCTTTTACATTGGACTACAGGTGAACTATAAGCTGAAAAGATGATCATGACGCAATTATAACTTTGTTTCTAAACATTTATGTTCCACACGGCCCAGTGGGATGTGACTGAAAGGGAGAAGAGCTACATGAATATTTTACCACCAAATCATTCACTGCGTTATTAAGATTACAGTTGGAGAGTTAACGATGAGTGCCGGGAAGAATTCCTCACTCCCGAGTAGGGATGGGTACCGGTTCTGACATAAACAGTAGTAACCAGACCGAAAAGCAGCGCACATTTCGGTGCTTTATTTCGGTGCTTTTTTTCCCTGAGCTGTGACACACTTTGGATTCTAGCCAATCATTTTACGTTTCTGAGGATAGTAGGCAGGCCCAGGTACGTACGTTCTTTTAGAGCAGAGCTACAGATTAAAAATGCCCAAGGCGAAGCGGTCACAAGTCTGGCTGTACTTCACAGCAAAATATGCAAACTCAGCAGCCTGCAACAAGTGCTTTAAGCTGATACTATGATATTGTGCAGAGGAGGTAACACCTCGAATCTGATGAAACACCTGGCGACGCATAGTGTTTTTTTTAAAAGCCGAGAAATGCGCCGTATTTGATAGCTTGCTGGGAGACCTCACACCGAGCGCATCTACTGCGGGTGTGGTGCCTGTTTTCTGACCCGGAGTTAGCAACATCCCCCAAAAGCCCGCAGAGGAGAGTCCTGGCCCCTAGCCCTGCCAGTGTAGCAGAAATGATGATGGATGATGATGGAGCAGCAGCCGTTCTTCTCTGCGTGAGTAGCTTAATGTTGTTCATGTGTAATTTACATTGAGTAGGCTAATCACGTTATTACATTAATGCATGTAAGGTGAACTAGCAAACATCATCATAGCTACATGCGGCTGTCTTCTTGTTTGATGGCAGATACTCCCTTCACCCTGGCCAAAAAGGCTAAAATGACCAAAGAAAAAGTGGAAAATAGTTAAACATGAGAGGTGTTTTGTGTTTATTCCATTGTTTAAGCACTGCTTCCAGCCAAGAGTGATACCATATATGCCCCATAGCTGCAGAAAAGGCTAACACTGTTATCTTTTTACAAAAAAACAGCTGAACATGAGAGGTTTTTGGACAAAGTTGGTGTTCTCGATTCTTTAAGCACCGGTTTGAGCACCGTTTAAGCACCGGCACCGTTTCAAAAGTACCGGTTTGGCACCGGTATCGGATAAAACCTAAACGATACCCATCCCTACTCCCGAGTCTGTTTATGTTGCCGTTTGCACCTTACCAGCAACCCTCAGGAAGAAATAAACATGTCAAAGCAATGTTTCCTTTTTACTACACACACACACACACACACACACACACACACAAATATGAAAACAAAGATGTCTTTTTACTATTTTTACAAGAGGAGACACACTGCAGGAAACGCTGTACAGAGGAAGTTATGCTATTGATGGGCAACAGTCTATTGTCTTAGGGTCTTTTTTTTTTTTTTACCTTCATCTCTCTTTTCTAAACAGGACACGACCACTTTTGAATTAACTTTACTCAACTTTTACCAGACCAAAGCTAGCAGGGGTATTGTACTCATGCTCTACACTGTGGGTGCCTGACTGACCGGTACAGTTTGAAGGAAGAAGTGGAGAGTTGTCACATCTAGTGCAAATAACAGATTACACGTGTCTAATAAAATCTGTAGTGTCCAAGCTGGAAGGCCAGCTACAGGGAAGGCAATTCAATATATGAAATTTCCAGGAAATCCCAAAAAATACAACAGGTGTCGCTCCTCCTTTTGAAGCCGTCCTTCATTAGTCACACACACACACGCACGCATTTTCACCACAAGACTGCGAAACCCCGTCTGACTCGGGGTTCTGAAAATAGCAATCAGGAAACATACAGTATAAATGAGTTTATGCAGCTGTTCCCACACATACTCTGACACTAAAGAAAAAGAATGTTACACTTTAATACTATGATGTTGCAAAAGCTCCAGAGGTGGAGCAGCCTGACATCCTCTCTGCAGACTGGGTGTGGTACAAGTAGCTACAGTATATTTTAATGGAACAGGTTAATTACACAAATAACTATTAATTCAAATATGCATCGTATATAATAGTATAACAGAGCACATCTCAGTAATGAAACAGATTCCAAATAATAATCCAAACACACTAATTCAACCCACCCAGAAATAAGATCCACACTCTTTGAAGATACTCTTAAATATCTAGAGTCGCTCTGTGTAGCTACATGTTGGCACAGTAGTGCTCTGCGCTACCCTTACTGTCCACCCCTAGGTCCACCCTTACTACTTCTATAGGGAATAAGAGGTTAAGCAGCAGCCAGGTGCTGATGATCAAATAGACTTGACTCATCAGCACCTTTCAGGACCTCTATAAAAGCAGAAATGCTAGCAGTTTGCTGGTCTGGAGCCTTCATGTGTGCATTAACAACATGTCCCAATCGTCCCATGAGTGGATGTCCCAGCAAATTCACCCCAAGGTCAGACAATGCAATTTTCAGAGAAACAAAACCCTAAAAGCTACATCTAAGACTTTACTGGCCTCAGTTAGCATGTTAAATGTTAAAGTTCAAGACAGCATACTTAGACAAAGCCCCTCCCCTCTCCCTCTAAATAAAACAAACAAGCAAAAAGAAAAACATGGCAGCACAGCTAGCTTCACAAAGTTGCATTAGAACAAACCACAAAACCTCTGTAACAATGTCCTTTGGACAGACAGGACAAAAGTGAAATGAGATGTTTGGCCAGAATGCACAGTGTCACTTTTGCTGAAAATGAAACACAGCATAGTGGCATAAATACCTTATGCCAGCTGTCTAGCACGGTGGTGGTGGCATGATGATTTGGGCTTGTTTTGCATCCACAGGATCTGGATACCTCACAGTTATTGCACTGATCATAAACTCATCTTTATACTAAATTATTATGCAGTCAAATGTGAGGCTGTCTGTCTGACAGCAAAAATGGGTTGTGCAAAAGGATAATGATCTCAAAAACACCAGATCATCAAACCTACAAAGGAATGTTTGAAAAAGGAAAGAACTGTTGCCATGGCCTTCAAAGGAAAAAAGTTTGGCAGAATCTTAAAGGAGCTGTTTGCAACCTAAATGTAAAGTAATAGTGGGCAACTATGTGAGAGACAAAAAAATGATTACTTTAAGTTATCTAAGGAGCTTGGAAAGAAAAGAGACTTAACTTCTTGAAGTTTCTTGACAACGTTTCACCTTTCATCCAAGAAGCTTCTTCAGTTCCTCCTTCTAATGGAGCTTCTATGGGTCCTGAATAATATGATCTACCTAGCTTTTTATAGGATTGTAAAATATCCAGTGAAATTTGTGTTTCACATGTAAATGTGTAACACAATGAACAAAGCTATATTATATTGTTTAGAATGTTTAAATTAATTAAACGACGAATTACATGCAATGTGGCAGATACACATCATCAGCTATATTTTCCCTTTAATTTCATATAAACTCAGGACCGGATAAAACCAGATATTTTTCCCCGTAACTAGGACAACAGAAGAAAAGCACCCCTAGCAGGACTGTTCTCCTTTTACATGTTGTAAACACTGTGAGGAAAGAGGGCACACAAAATATTTGCAGCTGTGTGGTCCATATTTGGGATTTGTTTTCAACACCCTAGCAAAGTCAATCTTTTTGAATGCATATTTGTGGTCTGGACTAACGGCACTCAAAATAATCACAATGTAGTATAATGTTATGTTTTACAAAAACAGACATTTTCAAATTTTAGGGAGGAAAAAATACATAATCACAACAAGTCTTACTTTTTGAAATATACTAACAATCTCCTTGTGTTGTAAAAAATAAAAGCACTTATGAGTAAACAAAAGTTAACACTCACAGAGGTCTGCGTTTCAGATGTGCCAGCGAGCTGCTGGACTTTAAAGACTAAAAATATCCTGGAGAGGAAGCAGAGTGTCCATCCTATTCGTCTGTGTGTGTATTAAAGCCTAAATGTGATATTACACTTCCTTTCTGCAACCAAGACTTGCTGCAGTGTTTAAAAATATTCAACACAGACATACTTCTGGTACTTCAGTCTTTGCAAGCATGGGCTCATGCAGTCTGGTTGTTTACTGAGCAGATCAACATTCAAATCATATCATCAGTTCATTTTTTATTACGTTAAGTTACTAATGTAGTCAGTGACAGCACAATGACTGGCAAAGCAGCACAATGTTCCACACTGCTACTAATGGGCTTTTCCAAGAATTTTTACTTTAAAGTCGTAGCTTTACAAAGGCTGCACTGGAGCAACGGCAAAAAAAAAAGAAAGAAAAGAAAAGAAAGTAAGAATAAAAGTTACTTTTAAAAAAATCTAACTGTATTCACAGTCTCTTTGTAATGTTGTGCATTGTACTGGGAGACATACACCCCAAAAAATAACAAGATGATGATGGGAGAGGGTGGGGGAGTGTGACAGCGTGGGAAAAGTGTGGTTTAAGAAAACTGCTTTCTTCCAATTCTTTCAGGATGATGTCAAGTTGCAGGAACTTCAAAACAAAGCACAAAGCTTTCAAAGTTACACACCACACCTGCAAACAGCTTGTTTTCTGCACCTGAGGTAAGGTGTGAGTCGGGGTTGAAGTGGTTGAAATGTTAAGACTGCATTGCAGGAGGCAGAGAGCTGGTGTTGTAAGCCACCACCTCTGTTCCATGATGAACTCACTTCTTGCCTCGGGTGACCTCAGTAGGTCACATGATAGGCTGGGGAAAGGTAAAATGTCAAAATCGCTAGCGATTTTTCCAGTCAGGCTACTAAAATCTCGCTCAGCCCTGCCCGTCGGGCTATCATAGGAAGGAAAAATATGTCAGTGCTTTTGCATTCTTTCGTAAACGTAGCTGGGCAATTATGGCATTGGCATCGATGAGCCTCTTTCAATATGTCACGTATTGAAATCGCGTTTGAATTTGTGCTTGTTTTTTGCTTTCACTTTCATTTTACAATAGCACAAACTGTGTATAAAGAGCAGCAGTACTGATTGGTGAGTGACGATTAATGGAGGTGAAATGGAGGGCAATGCACAGGAAGAGAAAGCTGATGAAGGAGATGCTATGCCCTCAACGTCGAGTGCCATTTTCTCATCTGTGACTTCAGTGGAAGTTTCAGATTGAGGATCTGACACAGACTGATTCATGTTCTACAAAGTTCTTACAAGTTCACAGAAACTTCTGTTCAATTAGAACCAAATATTTGAGTTGATGATTCTAATTTTTATACAGTTGTTGTAATTTGTGTATTAACAAATTTTTTTTTTGATTGATGTTTTGTTTCATTTATTTAAAAATTATCTTATTTTTTATTTGGGCTACTTAAATTTATTTTGGGCTACCAAAATCTGAAGAATGCCTGCCCAAAGGGCTACCAGGAATTTTGAAATTTTGCGGGCCCTGTATATGATTGTGAATGAACTTTGAGGGATGTTTTGTATGTGTTTTGATGTAAACTCCCATGTATTTTGTCAATAAAAGGCATAAAAAAAAAAAAAAGAAAGGAGAAAAAAAAGGTCTCACAGCCGTTTCAACCTTATGCCATGCTCCAGATACCTCGGAACTTGGGAGTGTCATTAAGGCTGGGTATCGATTTTGATTTCTATACTCGATTCGATTCCGATCCACAAGGTTTTATTCGATTTTGACTCAGACAGTCAGAAATATTATAATTCTGATCATTTATGAGTACATATCCATATTTTTATATCTGTGTATAACAACAAAGATGACACTTGTGAGACTTCATCAGAGGTGCAAGCATCACAGCAGATGCCTTTGTGTTAAAATAACTGAGGATAAAACACAGAAAAACATGAAGGAAATTTTTCTTCCCTGGCTTTTTATAGCAGATAACCTGAAAATATTTTGCAGTAGATCAAAAACTGAAGAAAACCATGACTCAACATATGAACATTACCTGATGCTGCTGACGTGAAGCAGAGCAAAGTTACAGAGGTTTAATTAGAGACACAGCTAAGTGTTTTGAATAATTTTAAAAAGTTTATATTTCTTCGGTATTGAACAGCAGAAATGAGGCTTTCTTGTTAGAGGTCATTTTAAAAAAACAAACAAAAGAAAAACAACGACTGACAGCACCTTCGTCCATGTGACGACTCATATGACAGAGGGTAGGGTTGTGCCATATGACGAAAATCTCATATCCCGATATAAAACATTTATCGTCCTGACAACGATATAAATCACAAAAATGTAATATTTTCTGTAAATTCTGTTAATCTCAGGCAACTCAACTTGCGTGAAGTTTTTACAGCTGGGCGTCCTTTACCTGCATTCGAGTGTTTTAACCGATGCATGACACTATACGTTTTTAGTAGGGGTGCAACGATACACAAAATTCACGGTTCGGTTCGATACTTTGGTGTCACGGTTCGATATTTTTTCGATACAAAAAAATGTTCATGCCTTTTTAATTTGTCATTTATAAAAATTATAAATATATATTTGAACTCAAAAGTACAGTTTTTAAATTTAATGTTGCTGAAACAACAACAACAACAAAAAGTGATTTCTCGATCAGATAGCTCGAGGAATCACTCATCTTTGGAAAAGAGAGTTTATTACAGAGAAATGTCTCTTTCCAAAATAAAAGCTATACTATCCGCTTCTTCTGGGCTATATTCTCAGCAGCATATTAAACATATTAGGTCCTCATAAGGAGAATCACGTGCTAACGGCTGTCTAAATGACTCGGGTAAAGTTTGTAGCATGCGTGCTTGTTGTTTTTGTCTGCTTCCACTTGTCTTTGCACTAGGATGATGTCGGCGTAAATGTGCAGTCGTTGTGTTCCCACTAGTGCTGTCAGCGTTAATCTCGTTAAAATGACGTTAACGCCATAACGTGGCAAATCTCCATTAGTGAGTTACCGTGGCTCGCGCCGTGCGTGGGGCTGGACGGCGTCAACACGTTAACGAGCTAACTGTGCTAACGCACTAGTTCCCACCAATGCAATTGAGTATTGCGTGGCACATCCGACATACTGGTTTACTTTTGTCCATCAGGGTCATACTTCACATGAAAACCAAAATAGTTCCAAACGCCAGATCTGAATGAGGGTGGGGGAGGTTCAATTTCAGGTAGCGTTGAGGTAGTTGCCATGTTGCAACGAGCTTAGCTTCTGTCTTGCTAGCTTTTGCTGCGCTCAGTGGATCTGCGCTCGACAGTGCAGCCTAGGCGGAGTAGTCGAACGCAGATCCACTGAGTGCTCAACACAGACAGCATCATCAGAAGAAAAGTTGATAAAATAAATTAAAAATTTTGTATTGTTCGATACATATGCGTACCGAACCGAAAGCACTGTATCGAACGGTTCAATATCGATACGAATATCGTTGCACCCCTAGTTTTTAGACATAAGTTGTAACGGCCACCATTTGAGTCGAAGGTTTATTTTTTAGCACCTGACGGCTCTTTTTTTCCTTCTCATTTGTAAACTCTTGCATACTCTTTAACGTGATTCAGTTTTTTTTTTTTAAAGTCTCAACAGGATCTTAAGCTTAAACAAACAAGCGGACGTAAAAACAGTCGCTTGTCCGTCCGTAGTGTGGTTATATTAAATATAAGAGAAAGAGAGAAGTTTAAGAGATTAATATAGCCACTACAGTGACCATCAAAACGATGAAAAAATATTGCTGTAAACAGTTTATTTTACGACACCACAAAACAAACGATAGCGTAACAGGAAATGATAGACGTTTTTATATCGTCATCCAATATATATCGTCATATCAAACCGCCCTAACAGAGGTCATATGAGTCAATAGCCCGCAGGAAGATATCCAAAGGGGACAATCAACCATTAGTATTGAAATACCTGGGACACCAATTTGTTTTTGTAGCTGAAGAAGCCTCTTGGATGACAGGGGAAACTTCTTTACAAACCTAAAGATGTCCAGTCGCCTCCTTGTGTTCAAGCTTTCAAGGCTACCATGACCTAGAAGACTGAGAACCTGCTAGTTTATTTGACTGACACCTCTTCTCCTACCCTGCACAAACCAAACCAGGGGAGAGAGGTGGGAACTAGAGTGTCTTCAAAAAAATACAACAAACACTTAACCTTTGAGATGTAGAGTCACAAAACATTTCAGGCCGCCTTCACTTGCAGAGTGTGACAGATATGATACAATGAAGAGAGTGGCGAAACCTTGACCTTTAAAGGCAGAGAACAGCACAGTGTGTGAAGATTAACATAAGCCGAGTGTATCAAAGGTTTACAGTTAACTAACAGTTCACTGAACATCAGCTGTGTGGGACACTTGGCAAAATGATCACCCTGCAGCATTGTTGGCACATCACACAAACACGGACACACACCTGCATTGACCCCAGGCAGCAGTACAACAGCTCAGATGGGCCAAACACTGAAAGCGCTACCACCCAAAGCTGACACACAATAGCAGAGTCTGCCCACATTAAAGGACAATAACACTGCTTTATTTATGCTCTGTCACTCTCATTCAGTCTGATGCTGTGTTCAGAGTGCAAAGCCTCAAATCTGACAGGAGCCACACGCACTCACAGGTCCTTCTGTCTTTGTGAGGACACTGATATAATGCGTTACCTACGGCTCCTCTTTAGTTGTCACAACTAATTACAACACCCTAACCCATAAGGACAAGGTTATGGTCTCTCAGAACTAGTTTTCCCACGTATTGTGCAAGACGCACAGAACTGTACAACTGTGCATTCGTTTTTTCTTTTTTTTTTTGTCAAATTCTCATGAGGGTAGAAGAAGCAGAATAAAAAGACAAAATCAAACTGATCTCAAACCATGTACATCTGTCAAATGGCTTCACCCACAATGACAAACAGTAAGAAAGAAATGCACAATGTCTTACTCCTTACCTTCCCACAGCATTAAGTGCATCTGAATATCATATAACGATGTTGCTCTGACCAGCAGAGGCACTACTGAGTATAAACAGCACGCTCCTGCTGTGGCGCCCTCTTTGCCAATATAAAGAATTCTGGATGTAATTTTTACATAACTTAAAACACTATACACTGTATATTTATTGTATTTTAGCATATGAGAGAAAAGGAACCACTGTATCAGGAACCTTTTAGAAATCAAAGCATGCAGCTCAACAGTTGTGATGCAGCATCAGTGAGTGTAAAACTCCATCTGTCTGAAGAAAGTATTTAAAATATGCTAAAATTATGCAGCATCACATTATTCTACTGCATTAATGCAAAAACACAGAGTGTTGTTTAATACCTAGTTAATGGGTTTGATGTTCATAAAACAGAGGTTTCACTCCCTCAGTCCCTGCTGCAGAAAATGTTCCCATATCGTAAAACAGCAGTGACACCAAGTGTGTCGATGTGTGTACCTGAGGTTTAAGGAGGTGAGCGACTGCAGGCTGATGATGCTGTCTGGGATGGACCTGATGCAGTTGTGGTACAAGTTTAGTGTTTCCAAGGCAACCAGATGGCATACCTCTGAGGGGACGTCGGTTAGTCGGTTTTTTGACAGGTCTGCAATGGAAACCAAGAAAAACAACGTTTAGAACAATTAAAGGGCACATTGTAATAATAAAAGATGCAAAGGTAGCAATTTGAGTAGTAGTTGAATGAAATATTAAACGTTTTAAAAAACAAAAACAAACTTTGACATCTGGTGTGTTAATTGTAATAAAAATCAAAAATAAGTTGAAAGACAGGTAGCACCACAGACTTATATAAAGGTCTGAAAATGAATCCAATGTGTCCTTTTTCTTATGTAAAAATCAGAGGAGTGGCTCTTTAAACGGTCTGACTGGATGGAAGTCTGAGAAAACAGTTTACCTCCTCCATAAACTTAGTAGGCATAGCCCGAGTTGCTAGTTTGAATTGGTTTTCAGTTCGGCCCTGAGTACAACAGATGGTGATGCCATGTTTTAAGACATGGCATGCATACAGTGGGGCAAAAAAGTATTTAGTCAGCCACCGATTGTGCAAGTTCCCCCACCTAAAATGATGACAGAGGTCAGTAATTTGCACCAGAGGTACACTTCAACTGTGAGAGACAGAATGTGAAAATAAAATCCATGAATCCACATGGTAGGATTTGTAAAGAATTTATTCGTAAATCAGGGTGGAAAATAAGTATTTGGTCAATAACAAAAATACAACTCAATACTTTGTAACATAACCTTTGTTGGCAATAACAGAGGTCAAACGTTTACTATAGGTCTTTACCAGGTTTGCACACACAGCAGCTGGTATTTTGGCCCATTCCTCCATGCAGATCTTCTCGAGAGCAGTGATGTTTTGGGGCTGTCGCCGAGCAACACGGACTTTCAACTCCCGCCACAGATTTTCTATGGGGTTGAGGTCTGGAGACTGGCTAGGCCACTCCAGGACTTTCAAATGCTTCTTACGGAGCCACTCCTTTGTTGCCCGGGCGGTGTGTTTTGGATCATTGTCATGTTGGAAGACCCAGCCTCGTTTCATCTTCAAAGTTCTCACTGATGGAAGGAGGTTTTGGCTCAAAATCTCACGATACATGGCCCCATTCATTCTGTCCTTAACACGGATCAGTCGTCCTGTCCCCTTGGCAGAAAAACAGCCCCATAGCATGATGTTTCCACCCCCATGCTTCACAGTAGGTATGGTGTTCTTGGGATGCAGCTCAGTATTCTTCTTCCTCCAAACACGACGAGTTGAGTTTATACCAAAAAGTTCTACTTTGGTTTCATCTGACCACATGACATTCTCCCAATCCTCTGCTGTATCATCCATGTGCTCTCTGGCAAACTTCAGACGGGCCTGGACATGCACTGGCTTCAGCAGCGGAACACGTCTGGCACTGCGGGATTTGATTCCCTGCCGTTGTAGTGTGTTACTGATGGTGACCGTTGTTACTTTGGTCCCAGCTCTCTGCAGGTCATTCACCAGGTCCCCCCGTGTGGTTCTGGGATCTTTGCTCACCGTTCTCATGATCATTTTGACCCCACGGGATGAGATCTTGCGTGGAGCCCCAGATCGAGGGAGATTATCAGTGGTCTTGTATGTCTTCCATTTTCTGATGATTGCTCCCACAGTTGATTTCTTCACACCAAGCTGCTTGCCTATTGTAGATTCACTCTTCCCAGTCTGGTGCAGGTCTACAATACTTTTCCTGGTGTCCTTCGAAAGCTCTTTGGTCTTGGCCATGGCGGAGTTTGGAGTCTGACTGTTTGAGGCTGTGGACAGGTGTCTTTTATACAGATGATGAGTTCAAACAGGTGCCATTCATACAGGTAACGAGTGGGGGACAGAAAAGCTTCTTACAGAAGACGTTACAGGTCTGTGAGAGCCAGAGATTTTCCTTGTTTGAGGTGACCAAATACTTATTTTCCACCCTAATTTACGAATAAATTCTTTACAAATCCTACCATGTGAATTCATGGATTTTATTTTCACATTCTGTCTCTCACAGTTGAAGTGTACCTCTGGTGCAAATTACTGACCTCTGTCATCATTTTAAGTGGGGGAACTTGCACAATCGGTGGCTGACTAAATACTTTTTTGCCCCACTGTAGTGACTTGAGGTTCTTAGTCAGTTCCTCCCTAAATTTGTTGTGTAGTTTCAAAGGGCCAAGACTGCGACAGCCCAAACAGTCCACAAATCAATGGGTGACCTCATAATGCCTCCATCAATTTTTTTTATACACTGTAGTTTTCATTAAAAATATGGTAACCTGATTTAACATATACATAACTCATACAGTCCTCAATTTTGATTAAATACAGTGACTTATTTGATGACAGAAGGATAACCCGGGCTGTGTTTTATTTTCTGTTGGTGTTAAAGTCTAGGTAAAACATTGCTCATAAGGTAATTAAATATATTTCAGTACGATATAAAACTTTGTAATCACTCTCGTCGGAGCTGGACCTACAACAATTTGCTGTAATGCACTATACACCTATTTGCACACCCAACAATAACACATGCATTAAGATTTCTCGCTCCGTGTATTGTACAACATGCAGATTTTGGACTAAATTCTCTCTTTCCTTGTAACATGGAGCACCACAGACACGCCAGCAGAGGACCGTGAATCTGAGGTACGACTGACGTCAGACTCAAGGAACTCAGCATTTGACATGAGGACTCAGGTCAGCTGCTCAAGCCAGGACTGTTGACATCACTTCCTGCCGTAACTCAGCAACAATAATATCAACTTCAGTTATCAGCAACCCAGTAAGGCCAAGAAATGTCAGTGCAATTATTCCACATTGTTCTGCCGAGGCTGAACTCTGAGCCTCTTGAAAAACACATTTTGTTTTGTTAATGGTGCAAGAACAGCACAAGAGTTCATTTCCTCTGGTGGAAACAATCGGGGAAAAGTCATGTTGTGCTTTTGTATTCAGTATTTATAGTCACGGTTTTCAATTAATATCCAGCAAGACTATGAGCAGAGACCTCGTTGCTATTTTTTTTGTTATACTAATGTTCCAGAGTTATGGAACAACAGAGGTACTGCCTAACAACCAGGAGTAATCCGGAATTCTTTTATTTGATATTAAACAGGCCAAAGCAACAAATCATCTCACAGCAGTTGTGTTTTTTATTTGTAGAGGGAGCTGAACTGGTTGCAGAAAGTGTCACATTACATATAATATAGCTAATATAGCAATTAGCTTCTGCCAATGCCATGCTAATGTTGCTAAGATGGTGTGGGCCATTTTTCAACCAGTGACAGCTGGGATAGGCTCCACCTCCTCCAAGCCTAAGCGGGAAGACCAGGTAAGAAATATGCAGAAAAATGCAGTAACAAAACCATGACCTTCACACAAATTCTGTCCCTTGACTTAACTATGATGACACACAGGAACAGATATATATATTTTTCCATCATAAAAATGTCTACAAAAATAAATGACAATGAAAATAGGGCACTTTTACTGAATGTGCTTTGTAAGCTGGTGAATAGTACAAACACCAAACTGTACAAACAGCTCCTCTGAGGCACAAGTGTAGCAGGCTTTCATCAATTTAAAAAACAAAGAGAAAAAAAGAAAATCACATCTGCATCTGGGCATCAGCCACACGTAGAACGCATTGCATCATGGATCACACATTAACAGGAAGTGCTATTTAAAACACTGAACGAGAAACAAAGAGCCCGCCGGTCCTGCTTTCATCCGGCGAGCAAACGGCAGCAAGCTGACTCAACTCACAACAACACAAAGCTATTACTGGCAGGGCGTATGTGTGAGTGTGAGCGTAAGGTGCGTTCAACACCGTTAATGCTCTTATTAATCTCCAAAACAACACTGTGGAAACTGTAATGCGTTCAAAGCAGCAGTGACCTACTATAAACCACGAGACACACAGGGACAGATTAAGGACATGTCGATCCTACAGACACACATCTGTCAAGATACATTGGCCTGTATCTATATGTGAGGCCATGTAAGGTGACACAAGTGATGATGCAGGCCTCAGGACATTTAGTCCATGACATACATAGATCTTCTTTTCACTCATATCAGCAATACCAGCGCTCAGGCCTGACTGAGTGTTTACACAGACGCACCTGTGACCGTTTCTGAAGTTTCGTGTTTTATTGATGGCACCTGTTAAAATCCTACACTTGGATGGATGGACGTGGCACTATGGCAACAACATATTTTAGGGATGCAGCGAATTGTTGTTTGGATTGGACATCTGTGCAATATTGAGTGAAAAGGCAGGATCCAGATCCAGATCCAGACAATGGGCTTATTTCTGGGGATGATCCATCCAGTTCATTCAATTGACTTTACAAAGTTCATGACTGATATTTAAGGAGCCACTGTGTGACTGAGTGTGATGAGAGTTTTTCTACTGTAGATACCCTTTTTAAGAAAAGAAAAGAAAGCAAATAAGTTTCAAACTTCAGCTGCAGTTATTACTTGCGTTTTGATGTAAGAAGAAAGAAAATGTTAAACATGGTAACTCAGGTATGATGTGAACGTAGCTTGAGGCTACAACTAAACCAGTAAGGGCGTAAAGGCGAAACCTGCTGTTTAAATGTAGTCCTTTTCAGCCATACATCTTTTTTTAAGCCCTCTGACATCAATTTTCCCACACTTTTGATGTTGCATTTTATTCAAGGTTTAATGCCTAATGAACCATTTTAAACAATCTCCATCCCGAGGCCCTGATGCTGCTAAACAATAACAAGGTACTCCCAGTCAACTGCAAATTTAAGCTCTGGATTAGTTTCACAAGAACCCATTACAGAGCCATTAGATAGTTAATCCTGTTTATGGGGGTATTCCTAAAAGCTACAAGTCTTCATGCTGTAAATACAAAACGCACACACACACGCACACACGCCACACCCTGAAAAGCAGGCGTGGGGCTTCCTGTGTTAATAACAACACTCTCCCTCTCATATGAAAAAGGAAATGACCTATTGCTGCCACTGTGTGACCTCTGACTTAAGAAGAAGAAAGAGAAGAAGCCTGCTGCAGGAACACAATGACTTTACTTCGCCTAAACCTGATTCAGCATCTTTTTA